AGCCGTTCCTGTTCGGTGCAGTCTGGACCTGCAGGGACCGCTGTAGTTGGCGTTTTACATCTAGCCCTTCTACCCCTTTCTAATTTCGGCCCCACTGGCCATAGCCTTTAAATTATTTCAACAAAGCTTTCTGGAATGTTCTCATAGCCGCATGTCTTATTTAATCAGTCTCCCCTCCAGTGGCTGACACCTGGCAAACTCCTGCTGCGTGTCCTGCGCCCGGCCTGACCCCCACGTCTCTCTCCTGACTTCGTTTCCAATGTCTGTCTTTTCTCTAATTTGTGTTCTTTCACACAGGTCTGCTCAGTAGCTACCTCTCATTTCAGTCAGTCCTCTTAAGACAAGCCTCTTTTCTGAAAGGAATTTTAATGTAGCTCTCCAGGGCATTCTGCCCTTACTCCCTCTGGTTGTTTGCCTGGCTTCATTCGTGAAGTTCTCATCTTTGTTACGGCAATGGATTCAATATTGTTCTCTTGCCATGAAAGGGCCCCCTCACCCCCTCGCTCATCACCCAGTGTTAGCCATCCTTTCTGGCAACATCAATAGATTGGTACCAATGGTTTTGCTGGAGTTCACCTTAGATGCCCTGTAACCTCTCCTCCTATCAGCCAAACCATTTACTTAAAAATTTGTCACAAATGTTTCAGAAACATTCTAATACTATTTCTGTTCCTTCCTTAATCTGTTTCTGTGTCACTTACTTACACATTAAGTGTCTTAGGTCCTTACTTATACCTAAAATTCAACCAGTTTGCCCCAGGTTATGGTCTATCCCTGTTCCCAGTTGTCTCCTATTCCTCTTGCCCATTTGCCTGTAGCCTCCCTGCTTATTCAGAACCAAACTGGGATTCACATACTCTTGCATTACCCAATGTCTGTCCTGCTCCTCATTCTTACTTGATCATGACCTTTGTCCCTGCCATAATCCTGTTATCTCCTTTGTCTAAATACTTCAACTGACCCATTTTAGGTCTGTTAATTTCCACTTCTTTCTTCCTTCTTCCCTTTCTTTCCTGCAGAAAACCCTACACTAATTTAACCACGATCATTCTTTGACCAACACCCTGTTGCACTGAAATAAGATTCTCTAGTCTTAACAGGTACATTCTGTCCTACATGGCACAACCCACTACCGTCATCTGTTTTCCAGGTATTCTATTAAATTCGTTTGCTCTCCAAACTCATACCTGTTCTGTATATGATTCCCACGGGTGGCTTTAGTGATTTCTAATATTCCAATCTCTTGACCGCCTCAGCAAACCAGGGCCTGTTGGAAAATACCTGGTCTCCTTCATTTGAAATACAAGGTATTCAAATTTGTTCCTAAACAAATTTGCTTCAGCACAAATTCGCTTCAGCACCCATGCCTTAGCGTCTCTTCTCATTTCCACTTACCCCATGGCCCTTCTGGTGGATTTCCCTTTTTTGTGTGTACCTTCCACTGCTTGCTGAATCTCTTTTGCATCCTTTGAGATCCTGTTAAGCTGTTACATTCTTTCAAATATGTCGATTTCCCCCAGCTGTTAATCCTATACTCCCTCACGGCCCTCTATTACAACTTACAGAATCTATGGCATGGAGTTGTAGTGTCACAAGTACAGGCAGATATCCCCCCCCACACATACACACATACACACACACACACACACACTCACACACACACACACCTATTTAACTCCTAGACAGTCTGCTGAGACAGAAGTCATGTCTCAGTCATCTTTTTATCCAAGGATCTGACACATTAGATCTAATGTGTACATGTCTGATGTCAACATGTACTGACATTTACCACATACTTGACTGGAAGGAGGGAGGGAGGGAGGGAGGAGGGAGCTTAGACTTGAGACTGAGCAGATGGAAGTCCCACTACCCAGCATGTCATATATGGTCTTTACATCGGAATCTGTTCTTTCCTGTCCTTCCTATTCCCCAGATAACTCTCTTACTCCCCAGTGTCTAGTATGTTTTGTGCCTGACCCTAAATGCCTTTTCTAAAACATCCAGACTTAATAAATGCCTTCCTTCCATCCGTTCAGAAAATTTCTTCTTCACGAAGACTTCCCTTTCCAAAAATGTATCCCCGATCTCCATTTCTTTCTTATTCTACCATTCATCCCCAAACAATAAGGCTCACTTGTTTTTCCATTCTAAGACACGGACTCTACCAATGCCAGAACCTCACTACTGACCTTCTCACTGCAGGTTGAAAGCTGACATACAGCGCAGTCATTCTGGTGGCCTGGCCTGTGGACCCGCTGTCAGTCCACAGTCTAAAGATAAAATATTGATACTGAGATTCTTGACGTACTTAGTGTTAATTTAATGACCTGTGTGTTTTTCTTTTTCCTTTGTCATCTCCTAAAAGGAATGGTTCTTACATTTTTCAATACGCAGACTCGACAGGCATGGCAGAAAGCCCCCAAAGGTCTCTCCTGGGCTCTTGCTTTATGCAAATATGGAAACAGTGTTGCCCATGTTGTCTTTTCTGTGCTATTCTAACCCATGGTGGGGGATGGATTTTACAATCATTTTGTGCGGCTGCCTCGCTGGCCAGCCTGTAGGCTGCTCTGGGAGCTACTACCCTAGGAGGCAAGGCTGCGCCCGCCATGGGCAGCCGGGACGCTGCACTCTCGAGGGAGGCTTTGTGCCCGCACTGGCCCTCACCCAAGCTCGCCTGCTCTTTCTCGCCCAGTTACAGCCACCTTTAGCTGCACCATGAAGTTCACAGTCCGGGACTGCGACCCTGACACCGGGGTTCCGGCCGAGGAGGGCTATGATGATGAGTATGTGGTGAGTCGTCCCCCCACTGCCCCAGACACTGCCTCTGACACCCTTGCTCCACCGAGTAGCTGCTGCCTGCAGGGAACATGCTGCTGGCGACATGGGACATGCACGGAGGGGGCTTTGGTGTTCTCCCACCAACCACAGCTGAGGAGGACCTGGACAGAGCCTCCTCTCTAAGAGGAGTGTGTCATGCCAAAGAGAACTGGGATGTACCACTTAATGACTGAGTAAAACAGAACTCACGCTCTGATGTCTTTATAATGGGGATAATTAAGAGATGAAACAATTACATGATTTTCATGGAAATCAATGAGTTTTATTTCAAGTATTGGGTTTTTTCTGGTTTTGTTTAGCAGCGTTTAGTTTACTTCTAATGTAGCCACATCACGGACTGAGAAGCCTTCACAGAATATAGGGAAAAGTTTAACAGGGATCAGGCTGTTAGTGAAGGTGACGTTCAGAAGACCAGCGTGGCCTTGAACACGAAGGTTAGGTGTGGCGGCAAGACCACTTTATACCCCAGGGTTACACGTGTTGATCTGAATATAGCTCTCGCCAGATGTCCTGTTTTCTGCTTTCCTTTGCTAAGGCCTACATCATTAGATTTATCTAGACCCCAGAATTTAAACTACTTGGGTGGTCAAGTTTTCCTAGGCTCCTGCAAAGGAGCGAATATCAAATGATAAAACCGTTCTGATCAGTCCCTTCTGTCCTCATGGTGTCCTGAAGGACTTTCCTTTACTGAGCTCCGCTTGTTACCCACCAGCTGGAAGATCTCGAAGTGGCTGTGTCTGACCACATTCAGAAAGTACTGAAGCCTAATTTTGCTGCCGCCTGGGAAGAGGTGGGAGACACCTTTGAGAAAGAGGAGACCTTCGCCCTCAGTTCTACCAAAACTCTCGAAGGTGAGAACAGTTTTGCCATCTGTGTATTGCAGGATGAAACCTAATGGACGTATTTATGATTCCAGAGTTATCTCTTTTCTTTAAATATTTCATAAACCATTTTGCTAAAAAGGCCAGGATCCTGTCTTCATTATCTGAGTCAGCCGGGTTCTAGTCTGGCGGCTTCCCTCCTCAGCAGCTGCTGGGACAGAGGCAGACCCCTAGGCTGAACTTTCCTGATACTGTTGCATCTGTCCCCTCAACACAGAAGCTGTCAACAACATCATCACATTTCTGGGCATGCAGCCGTGTGAGAGGTCGGACAAAGTACCTGAGAACAAGAATTCCCATTCCCTCTATCTGGCAGGTAAGAAACTTCCATCAGATTCCCCCTTTGTATGGTTGCAAAATAGGAATGTGTGTGCACAGGCGTCACAGGGGTTGTAATTTACAGCCCTGTCAGTGTGAGTAGTTTGTTTTAGCTGCTCAGTTATTCGCAGGCTATCCTTAGGCTGTTCTCGGAAGAGGTGAGTTTGGCCTGAGACCCTTGAATCACTCCCACATACCAATGCCACCATTTCCCGCCTCTGAGTACTCCAGACCAGTACTACTGAATACCTTCTATGTGCCTGGTACCATGAGAATACAAAAGACTAACATTTTGTACACAGGATTCGGTTCTCACCATAAACACAGATCTCTAGAAAAGCTAAACTAAAATAATAGAAAGGAAATGCAGGCAGAGCATGACGTATTTCATTATTCAGAGCTTGTTTTGAGCTCTAACCTAGTCTTCCTTGCTTTTCTCTCTCAGGTGTGTACAGAGGTGGCTATGACTTATTGGTGAGGTCCAGGCTGGCCTTAGCGGATGGAGTGACCATGCAGGTGACTGTCAGAAGCAAAGAGGGAACACCTGTAGATGTTATCTTAGCTTCTGTTGGATAAATTTTTACTGGACAAGATGACGTCGATGCACACTTCATTGTCAGTGGGCTTTTAGGCTAGTGGCATGAATTTCCCAGAATCATACTTTTAAAGATTAATGGCTTTGGAGAAGCAAATTAAATACTTGGCCCTGAGCCAGCAGATCAAGCAAATATCTGTCCTCGTGCATGTAAATTTTTCTTTTTTTTTTTTAAATTATACTTGGTCAACTTTGGTTTGACAGTACAGCTTTGGGTGATCTTGCAAATCAAATACTATCCTGTACCCCAGCTGCTTAAACCTCATTATATTCTTTAATTTAATGTGCGTCTGAAAGCTCCTGACAATGTTGGAAAGCTTTTATCCCAGAGGGGTGGCGGGGGAGGGGAAGCGAGAGTCCACTTTTGTCAAAATTCATTTTTATTAATAGAAAATAAACACTTATTCCAGTTTCAGTTGTTATACTTGAAGTTGCTAATAAAAAAAAAATCTAAAATATAATCACTTAATTCTCCTGTTTCGACTAAGACAGTGAAGCTGTGGCTTAAAAAAAATTTCAGCACCATTTGCTCATAGGTCTTTCAGAATTTGTTCTTAAAGTTTCTGGAACTTTCCTGTGTGGAAAGTACAGGAATTACTGAGCTACAAGAGGAAGTCTCTCTGAGACAACCAATGAGAAGTTAAGTTAAGCAGTCATCAGAAAAGGAATCTCTGTATGTTCGGTTCGGTAACCTGGACTATACAACGATCCCCTCCCCTCCAGCTCAGGAGGGACATGCCTCAAAGCACTGAGGTATGAAAAGTCAGACTGTTATTCGCTGTCAGAATTAGCTAATAACAGTACATCTCTGGCACAGATGCTACTGGTCCTTAGTATCCTGTGATTTTAGGAACTTCTGTAAATAGTCTGGATTTACTTCAATGTATTCAGAAATTAAACCTATTTAATAAGGTTCACTCCTCTGCCAGAGTATCTGCTGGTTTAGTATCCTTAGAAAATACATATAATACATGTAGGTAAATCGTAGTCTTAAAGTATACTTAGAATACTGCGTTATTCAAACCAAACCCTATTTCAAACAAAATGTCTATTATTAAAAGCAGCCGATGAAACGAAATCCCAAGTTATGACAAGGGAGACTCACTCTCATTTGAAGCTGTGTTGCTGAGAGAACTTAAGAACGCATGTGCCCTTAAAACCGTTCAAGGACAAGTTAGGAGACACCCTCTCCTCTGTCTTTACCATAGGACTCTGGTCAAGGATGGGCCCGAAATGAGCATTTCTAGATATTTCAGAAAAGTCCACGGAAGTGTTAAAAAGACTTTGAAGAAATTCCTAATAGTGCAAAGGCAAGTCCATACACTCGCTCAGATGTGAAAAGAACAGGAGGTGGACTGTTAGGGCCATCCTTAGCCGGAGCTTCTGTGGGCTTTTGACTATATGCTGATCACCAATGTGCATCAGGTGGACTTTTGTGAGAGAATAGTGTTTGGTGGCCAAGACCTCTTTTGGGCATTTCTTCCTAAGTAGAATACACAACAGATAAGGGAGTGGGTTGGGGGTGGGGGTAATACAGGGAAGCTACTCTTTCCAGCTCAGAAGGAGTTGATGAAGCCCATATATGCATTCAAGAAGCCCATGGGATCCTCTAGCTGTGGATAGTGGCTAATGTGGTCATCCAGAATCGACACTGTGGACCGCGGCAGCGTTTTCCTAGTGGAAGAGAACAGCATGGAGGTGAACTTGAGGCTGGAGGGAGGGGACGGATGCAAGCCAGTGGGCAGCCCCGGTAAAGGCCCTTGCGGACATACCACACTGGAAGGAACCAACAAAGAGCTTATTCACCTTCTACTTTGGAACTGTATCTTAGGCAGATAAATTTGCCAATTCTATTTATGACATAAACAGACTCGTTCTTAAATGTTCATAATCCAACAGACAACAAACTGAGCATTAACACTTTGCAACACCTGCCCAAGCAGGAGGACCTTCCAGCTCCTTAGAGAAGCATGAGGCATTAAACAAGTGGGCCACTCAGCAACTCACTGTCCAAATAAAGATAACAGACCTTCCTTAACCCTGGGAGGAGATGAGGGGAGGGCATTTTGCTTAAAATTAAATGCACACTATTTACTACTGGGTTGTTTCTGCTAGGCCACGTGAAGGTATGGGATGGTCTTATGTGACACAGTCAAGATTTCGTATTCCAACACCTTCTGAGTAAGTACCTAGAGAAACTAACAACCGATGAGAAGGCACTTTTCCACAGTGCACTCTTCTCAATCTCTCCTTGTGGTCTGCTGAGCTGAGGTGGAGGAGTTAGCTTTATGATCAGACTAAAGCAAACACTTCTTAAAATAGATCTACTTCCACTCCTTGGTTCACATGATAGCTTTTTCTTACCTGTACACCTACGAATATGTAGTAACCATGACAGTGAAAACATGCTGTGTAAATCAAGACAACATATATCTTTACATTTCTGAATGTAAGAAAGTAAGATTTCCCAATTCATCCTTTTATAACATGTTTCCTGGATGAACAGCCAGCAAGGGCAGAAACAGTGGCTATCCTGTTCACCACTGTCACCATGAGGAACAAAGCAAAGACCCCTGAGGGAGACTCACCTGTACAGCTCCAAAAACTCTGGATAGGGATTTACAGGATCCAATGGCCCATAGATAAAATGAACTAGGAAAGAGAAAAGGAATGAATTACTAAAGCTCTCACATCTATTCTCCTACCCTCAAAAAATATTTTTTCCAGTCTTATTAGAAATAATTGCCATATATCACTATATGTAAGTTTAAAGTATACAGTATGACGGTTTGGTTTATGTATATTGTGAAATGATTACCACCCAACAGGAAGAAAAAAAATTCTTGTGCTGAGAACTCTTAGGATCTACTCTCTCAACTTGTTAGCTGTAGTGGTCTAGTTGTTCATCACATCCCCAGTACCTGTAAGTACAGGGCTATGTATTTTGACTACCTTCTTCTTTCCCTCTCCCCCCACCCCTGGTAACCACAAATCTAATCTCTTTTCCTCTGAGTTGGGTGGGGTTTTTTAGATCCCACACAGAAGTGAGATCATATGGTATTTGTTTTTCTCTCTGACTTATCTCACTTAGCATAATGCCTTGTGGGTCCATCCATATTGTCACATCACAAATCCATATTGTCACAAAAGACTGCCTTTTTGTGGTTGAATAATATTCCATTGCAACGTGTGTGTGTGTGTGTGTGTGTGTGTGTGTGTGTGTGTCTCTCTCTCTCTCTCTCTCTCTCTCACAGCTTTTTTATCCATTCATTGACTGATGGACACCCAGGCTGTTTCCATGTCTTGGCTATCATAAACAATGCTATGAACAAGGGGGTGCGGACATCTTTTCAGGTTAGTGTTTTCCCTTCCTTTGGATATAGTCCCAGAAATGGAGTCACTGGATCATATGGTTGTTCTATTTTTAATTTTTTGAGAATCCTCCATACTGTTTTTCATTGCGGCCATACCCATTTATAGTCCCACCACCAGGGTACCAAGGGTTCTCTTTTCTCCACATCTACACCAAAACTTATCTCTTGTCTTTTGAGGACAGCCATTCTAACAGGTGTAAGGTGATATCTCGTTGTGGTTTTAATTTGCATTTCCCTAAGGGTCAGTGATGTTGAACTTTTTTCATGTACCTGGTTGGCCTTTCCTGTATCTTCTTTGCAGTAAATATCTATTCATGGCCTTTGCCCAGTTTTTAATTGGCTTGGGTTTTTTTGCTATTGAGTATATGAATTCTTCCTATATTTTGGACATTAACTCCTTATCAGATGTATGGTTTGCAAATATTTTTCCCATTTGTTGATGGTTTCTTTGGCTGTACAGAGCTTTCTTAGTTTGAGGTAGTCCCACTGATTTGTGCTAGAAAACCCAGCTTCTTTCAAGAAGAAGGTTATAAGGAGCTTCTGGGAATAAGCCAACAGTCCATTTGGGACAGTTCTCCTATATACAGACACTCATTCCCTCCCCTCCAGCTCCTCTGTGCCTGAACCCAAAGGACTAAGTCTCATTCTCCATATTCTCTTCCTATAAATCCAGGATACTGTCATCATTTAGGTCTCTCTCCAGTTACAACTGACCACTGACATTTTAAATCAGCCACTAATTTCTGGAGCACTACTATGTCTGAAACACTGCACTGATTTTTTTTTTCTTTTTAAATCTGTAAGATTAAAGAGACAAATGAGCAGAAACCACCTACAGCCTCTCGATTAGTCATATAAACCGCTTTCTGTCCCACCCAGCAGTTTAGCCCGTAACATGGCAGCCATGGCCACTGCACCACGCGACAGCCAGTCCCGCTCCCACTCCTGACACTGATCCCAGCTACCCTGGCAGCTCTGTTTCAGATACTTCCCTCTACAACACATGTCCAGATTTGCAGAGTAGGGCTGCCAGATTAAATAAAAGATGCCCAGTTAAATTTGAATTTCATTTAAGTAATGATTTTTTTAAGTATAAATATGTCAAAATATTGCAAAGCACATACTTATTCTAAAAAAGTATTTGTTGTTTATCTGAAATTCAAATTTAGCTGTGTGTCTCATATTTTTATTTGCTAAATCTGGCAATTACTTTCGCCCTATGGTCCCTCAGTCCCAACAAGATGTAAGGTAGAGATTTACTCACTGGGAATAGTTACAGAAGCAAGAGCTCCCACCCAGCGTCTTCTAAACTTCTTCCTCTGGTTGATGTACTGTAAGAGACTATAGGACAGCCAAGTCAGCAAGAGGAGAACAAGAAATCTTTAGTGTTACAGGAATGCAAAGGCATCCTAAAACGAAAGCTGCTACATTCTCATTTGGACCAAGTCGAGAGCATTCTTTGTGTAAGACTGAGAGCTGTCCTCCTTAGTCCCTGTTGCTACGGAAAAGACATGAAAAAGAAAGAGACATGCATTTTTAAGAGGTGACTAGGCTCCTTTCACGACCACGATTAGACATCTTGAGGCATTTAATATTCACAAAAAGCCCAAAGTAGGATGTGCCAAAGTCCATCGGCCAGTTAGAAACTGAATGAGCATTAGAATTTAAAGCTGTTTATCTAAACGTTGTGTGCCACATGGCTTACGCGGATGGCTCACTTGCTATTTTCAATTTCTTTCTTCTTAGAACAGTGCGTGACTTCTTGGTTTGCCTCACAGGTCAGAGAGAGGGAATAAGCCAGCAAGGAACAAAACAAGCAATACTCCACCTTTCCCCACTTCCTCCCAAAAAAGAGCTTCCCTGGAAACCAAAGCGAAGTGTTATTCTTACCTGTCGATTACTAAGTTCCCGTCGTTGTTGCGAATCCCTGCCCACATGTCCCACAGCTCACTCTCAGAGGGGCGGGTGTACGGCCCGAAGACTGGGGTGAGACTGAAAGAGCCCGAGAGAGCAGGAAGACACATGTGAGAAGAATCCAGAATGTCAAATATGACTGGAACCTCACAGGTCATACAGTCTGACCCTTAACTGATTTATGAATTCCTTCTACTACTTCCCTGGCAAGTGGCCAACATCTTTGTTTTAAAGTATCAAACCCTAGGATTTGGCCCAGAATTTTAATGGCAACTTTTCACTACACTGTTCCCAGGCTATAGCGAATCAATCTCTGACAATGACTTACCCTCGGGAGAACACAAAGAAGTTCATCAATCGAGTGAGAATGGGTGATAACATGCCTCCATCTTTGAGAAGCTGTACGTGAAGAAGTAAAGATGTTAGAGAAAGAAAACCACTAACCAGAACAAAAGTTTTATATTAGGAACTAAAAAAGGACTTTAGTCAAATGTCCCGCTACTGAAATGTTTGTTTATTGGCCTTTTTGTTTTTTATTTATTGGTTTTGTTTGTTTTGCCTACACATTCTCTCACAAAGACAAAACCTATTTGTAATTCCCTTTAAGATTACATTTCTACACTAAATCCCTAAGCCTTCTAACTGATGTATTCAACTTTAGGGTCTGATCTGTTCAGCCACCGTGCTAATGACACGGATCTCTAGACAGCTGTATTTCTCTAAGTATCTGTTGATTTCTTACTCTCAGAAATGAGGCTTTACCTAGAGGCCGCTTAGGTTTTATCAGCCTAAGAAGGAAAAAACTACCTTTATTAATGTAAATTCCTGAAGAGAGCATTTTCACTCTGGCCCATTACAGCAGGTATGGCCCTTATGTAGGTCCTAGCATTATTTATGTTGGTATAAATCTTAAAAACTAAAGATTTTGTGACTGGAGTAGCCAACCTTTTGGAGAAGGAGAGGACGGTGAGTCTCAGGAAATATACCTGTAGGAGAAAAAGAGACTTAATGTTAGTCATTTACCAACAACCTTAGGCCAAACATGGGTCCATTACTGGAGACTATCCTCCCTATTTCCTGTCACCTTTGGGGTCATCACTGCCAGAAACAGGATTACCAGTAAAACTTAGTTCTGTCATCTAATTACTTCTCCAAGGAATTCTGTTTAATAGGTCAAATTCTGTCCCACTGTGACTACTTTCCCCGCTATCAGAGTAGAGAAACGGGAAAGATAATGTCCGTGCCCGTCCATAATGCTGATGACTAAACCTTAACTCCCCCTGGCCTTTCTAACCATTCCTCAGAGCACCCAGTATTGTTAATGGTTTGGGCTGCAAAAGAAACCACCGATTTTTTTTCAGGGACTGCAGGTCCCTGGGCAGGATGGGGAGGTGGGGGGAGAAACGAGAGTTTTTCCTTTTCCATTTTTCTCTGGAGTCAATGGGAGAAGGCCCTGAGCATTGCTGATAAAGGGAGAGACTCCTGCCCCAATCTGCCCTTACGGTATTCAGGAGACATGTGCATTATTCATGGATTTATACGCTATGCGCCATGGCACACAAAGAAAAAGAAATCCCTCCTAAAGGTCTAATCAGAGGCTCACTAATTTCTACCTAAAACCTGGCACTGCCACCAATTAAGTTTCTGCAGCAAACCACAGGAGTATCAGAAGCCCCTGCGGCCTCATCACGACTGTTTGCTGATCCAGCGCGGCTGCTGCAGATAGTGCCGAACGTCACCGGCCCACCTCCCTCCCGAGCGCGGTGCTCGCTGGACCGCCCCGTCGACCTTGCTAAGCGATGCTTTTACAAAGAAGCCCTTAGCTCTGTAACACGGCTTTTTATGAACTGTATGTTGATACGATCCATTTCCTTTATAATCCTATTCATTTTATTTTCTGTATTTAAAAACGTTATTTTGAGAAGGGGGAAATAAATCTCATTAGGCCACCTAAGAAGTTCACGGCACAAAAAGGTCAAGGGCCTCTGGTTTAATTGTGTCTGCCTGCAGTCTCATCAGACTCCCATTTAGACATCGAGCTGGTATCTTCCTATGGTCCTTCACGAATACACCTCAATTTCCATCCACCATCACGGCAATTACCTCCGTTTGACAGACAGAGACTCTTTATGGTAAGCCGACCGGATCGATTCTGCTTGAACCTAGAACAGGTGAGGGAAACACAGCTGAGTGGACAGAACACCAATCCAGCAGCTGAAGACAAACTCCCAAGAGGGAAAGGGGTTAGAACGAAACTTCTCCCAGCATCTCAAGCCAATGAGACCCGTGAATGGTGCAGAAGTCTATGACCTCACTGACCTATAGAGCAGCTCCTGAGCAACGATGTCTCCATAATCATGAGACAGAAGGTTGATCCTGCGGTTCTGGAGCCCCAGGTGCCGCAGAAGTGCCTCCACGATGCTGGCCTGCTCAAATATGGAGTAGTGATGTGGTCTCTAAGGAGAAGGCGGCCCAGACATACAGGAGGAAGTCATGAGTGCAGAGCCCTCTGCCAGCCGGACCCGCTGTCCTCATCCACCCCCTCCCCCACCCAACACCGGTCCCATCCAGATGCTGCTTACTGGTTTGTCACTGAAGCCAAAGCCCAAGAAATCAAGCGCGATCACTCGATGAAACCTCAGGGTCAGACCTTCCCAAATCTACAAGAAAGAAAGGGATGATCTGGCTTCTGTGATCCTGCGCCTCCTCTCCTCCGGCCTACAGCACAGGAATTTCATTCCTATCTTGGCTTAGCAAACAGACTTTGATAAAGGGAAAATCTCGTGCCAAGTACCACAGGCCCACAGATGATCCTCTTCATTTATTCCTAATCTCCACTGAGGGGAAATCTCCAGCATTTTTAACTTGGCAATGATCCTTCCCAGATCACCAGAGTTTTTACTCCCTTACAGTAAATGAGAAACAGTTCTACACTTGATCCTATTTTATTAGGCAATTCAAATACAGAAGAACATTCCAGTGCTGAAAACAAAATCCTTGATTTTGGATTTTTAAAGACAGTAGGATCTAGAAATCTGATTTCATTACCTTGTACCAATCATAGCTGGATGTTGGAAAGCCATGTAAAAGCACAACTATCTCAGGACTTCCAACCACACCCACAGAGTCTGGGAAGAAGGAAAGAAATCAGTTAGGCTGACTGCCTATAAAAATAACCTTGAAAATATTAAACTCTAAGTAAGCTAGTATAAAGGACAAGAAACCCTGACTAAATTAATGAAATAAAAACAAATTCCTTTTTAAAACAGAAGCTTACTGCTCTAGGTAAAAATAGGCACTGGATCATTTTCTTTTGTATCTTAAAAACTTGTAAATAACACACTTTATATGAAAATGCTGGAAGGCAGTCTGCTTCATTTCACCCATTTGTTTTTAAGTATTTCTCCATTTTTTCCTTTTTTCTGTATTATCAATATGTAAGTTGTTTTTCACAGTAAAAAGTAACCTTGCGAAGTTAAATGTATACAATGACAACATAAACACTACAGATTCTTTGTACCTTATCATTAAGGGCCTCGCAAAAATTTTCTAAAATATAGCAACACTTCCTCAACCTAGTGGACACCTTAGTTTATCCTGTTTGTCCAGCACCTTTATTTCTTCCAGGGAAGAGCCAATCCAGTATCAAAAGCATAATGCTCAAACTATTAACAATTCTAACAAGCAAAGGATTAAGCAGTATAGACTTGGACATTTTTTAATGCAGAAATATATTTTAAATTAGCTAAACATTTAAAGAGTAAAATGCCTTGCTTGTAGCATTAGATTAAAAGTGGCGCATTCATACATCCTGCAGTGGCATGGGATTTGGTAAGGTTTGCAAAAATAATTTAATTGGAACCAATTTTAAAATATCGTTATTCTTGAGAATCCATGCAAATAAAATCATTCCATTGACAAATAGTGTAGTTTGAAAATATATGGAACAAATAAACATATACACGAAGATGTCCCTTCAATATTAACTATTTAAAACATCAAAAAACTAGAAACAACTAAATGACCAATATAAAGAAAAGTAAATACTTACTTAGTTGAATATAGCAAATGAGAGGAGGTCAGGAGCAATAATGAAAAACGGTTTATGACAAACATTTTTCGTTATTGCTCTTGACCCCCGCCCAAAAGATATCTTTTCCAGTCTCGTTTCAGTTTCTTTACCTATAAGATGGGGTTAACGGCACCCATCTTCAAGTACTGTTGAAGTAAAGATATTTAATCTTAAAGGTAATAACAAAGGTTGAATACATAATTCAATGACTAACATATGGTAATTACTTGATAAGTAGCAGTTATAATAATTATCATTAACAAGTTAATCTATACAAAGGTATAAGGCTTAAAATCACATTTAGTTATGCATATAACAAATACACTTTATAGAAAACAATAAAATGAAATCAGGGATGGAGGGAAACAGAACGAGCAGTAGGGCTAGCCCTTGAACACTAGGGGCGCTCAAAAGAGAAAACCTATCTATCTATCAATACAAATGAGGCTATGAAGAGAAAATTATACTGAAAAGTCAGTTCTACAGATACCGGAATCTCAATTCCATTGCTCCCACCCAGCTACCCCTAACAGTTTCCTTTGACTTTCCCTGCTATGGAGTTTTTAAGGGGAACTAACCGATTCCTTCAAGCACACTACACAGAAAAGGGGGATTCTTCCCCCCTCCCTCCCTTGAGTGGCAACGAGACCAAGAGAAACAAAGTGAGTACTTCAGTGGGACTCACGGAACCTATGATACACGCAGGGAGCTCCAACAGTCCTCTTCTTACCTTGGTAGAAGATGCGCAGTCCCTTGTAGGTGAAAAATTTGCCCGAGGACTTCCACGAGTGAAGAGCAGGAGAAAGCTGGGGAGGGGGGATATGCAGATAGGCCGCCAGCAGGGGCACGGCCAACAACCCCACCTGAACCCACCACTCCCTCATCCTGTAAGACAATCAGAGACCTGGGGTAAGCAGTCAGATGATGCTGTACATGCTTTGACAAGCCCCAAATTGGTAAGATGGGGTGGGAAATTTCTGTCCCATGCCATGGCAGAAAGTTTACCAAGAATGTAAGCACACCTCTCCCTGCAATGCAGTCACCATACCTGCTCACCATTCTAATTTTAAGGAAAAAATATATTATTTTAATACATCATCTTCCCCCTCTCCTTCCCACTTTAATCCCTTGGCCCCCCCCCCCCCCCACTGTGCTTTTCCTAAAACCTGAAGAGGTTTTTACGTAAAGCAAAAGGAAGTTAAGTACTCTGCACCTTTTTGTTGGCTTTTATCAAAGCTTCTCCAGGAAAGATTTCCTTCCTATTTATTCTAAAAGCTCTATCACCCACCCACCAGCACCCCCCTCAAGTAAAATGTTAAATATATATAGATACACATATGTAGTTTTCCACTAATGTTTAAAATAGCATCACATGTCCTTAAACAGAGCCGTTTTTTATTTTTTAGTATTTATCAACTCTCTGACCCCAGCGAAGCCCCACTTGGTACTACTCCCTGGGTCTGTGCTGAGAAACTGCTCCAGGTGAACAGTCTGCAGGAAGCGAGGTACGCGGTGTATTTCACCATAAGCAGCTTTGTCATGACCCACAATATCTAATCTCTTGAGAGGTCAGGGCAGCAGGTTATATTTCTGCTTTTCTTAGACTCTGAGGTAGCTCCCATTTATTTAATTTGTTAGGACTGGTACCCCCCCCCACGCTGCAAACCCCTCAAAAAAATGAGCAGAGCTCATATCCAACATCTGAAAATTGCTTTTGCCTTTGGAAGGAAAGCACTGGTTTGCATACCCACCCTTCTCATGCCCCGGACTTCTAAGTCAGTCTATCCACAATGAGGAGTGCTCAACAGGAATTAGAGACAGTTCCCTCTGTTTCTAGATTGACTGCTAATAGTCCCATAGTCACCAGGGAAAGAATTATCAATACAATGGAAGTTCTCTAAAATAACCAGAATGGAAACACCTTCTAAAATGAAAATCTAGTCATAAATCAGGGAAATGAATTGTTACAGCCATGGCAGAAGTGGCTGTGTGTGTGCACACACCCTTCCACCATCTTGCCTGTGATCTGGCCACAATCTCTATCCATCACAAACTAATAAAAAAAAAAAATTTTTTTTTTAAACTCTAAAGTAAGGCTGTGGTCCCACAGGGGCCAAATCACCAGCGCCTTAAAGACTCTGAGCAGCACTGCCTATTTTTTTGGCATCACCAGGGCAGTCTTTTTTTTTTTTTTTTCCCCTTCCTCCAAAGCAGCTGTCCAGAAAACACACCCAATGATTTGGTTGTATCTTTCAAGTTAATATTACAAATGATTCCCTAAAATGCCCCCCAAACATCATCATATCACCATTTTTACCCCACAATAGTAGCAGGCTACATCCCAATATCTACTTGAAAAATGAGATGACAAAAAGTATCAGGTTTGGATATCATTAGCTATCATCTGTCCTGTATTTCAGCTCCTACATTTGTACATTCACATTTCATCACTCCTCCCCCAACCCCCCCCACCCCCGCCTTTCCTCTCATTCATTCAGGGGTTCCAGCGGAGGAATATCTGCAATGACTCAGCAGAGAGCCAGGGAGGGGCTACGAGAGGAGCCGGCAGAAGGAGGCTCCCTGCAGGGGGGGCGGGGGGGGGGGGGGGGGAGGGGATGGAGGGGGATTGGAAGGTGGAGTGGAGGGTGAGGGATGGGGGGATGGAGAGGGGTTGGAGGGTGGAGTGGGCAACGACTGTGCATTTTCCACTCCTGGACACCCCCACCCTCTATACCTTCCTTCTCTTTCACTTCACTAAAGAAAAGAGGCAACCTTTCAGGAAGCTGTTTTCTAGTTTAATTACTCGGTAAAAATGTCCCTAACGACATTTGGGGATTTTTAGTTGGGAAGCAATCTGGTAGTCAGTAGCCGAAAGGGATTAATCATTTTTTGACCAAAATCTCCATTACTTGACGAGCCACAAGTCAAGACTATAAATTCAGCAAACCCAAGTAACAAACGTTCTGGAAATTAATCAACCCTTCCAAGCCTTGATTTCTTCATCTTGTAAAGAGGAAAAAATACATTTAATACCACCAAACCTGCCACCTTCCAGCATCGGGTGAGGCTGTGAACTACTCTGTAAATCAATGCAAACAATTCACGTGTAACATTATGATAGTTTGATCACATCATCATTCTCACTTAGCGTCTCATTACCGAAATCTGAAAAATACTTACGCCTCGGTGATATGGTACTGCAAGTTCTAGTCACACCTATGCAGTAACTCACGCCACAGCGATACCAGGGTCTTCAAATCCTAAATCGCGCCACAGCGATACCGGCGTCTACAAATCTTAAATTGCGCCACAGCAATACCAGGGTCTCGAAATTCTAAACCGTGCCAAGCGGGGGTCTAGAAACCCAAAATCACACCAGGGAAATGCCGGGGTCTAAAAATCTTAAATCACACCAAAGCGTCACCAGGGTCTAGAAATTCTAAATCGCGCCTGAGCGATGCCGGGTCTAAAATCCTAAATCGCATCTAAGCGGTATCAAAATCTAGAAATCCTAAATCGTGCCGGGGCGATGCCGGGGTCTAAAAATCCCAAACTGTGCCGAGGCGAAGATGGGGTCTAAAAATCTTAAATCGCACTAGGGCAACGCCGCGGTCTAGAAATCCTAAGTCGCGCCAGGGTGAAGCCACGATCTAGAAATCTTGAAGTGTGCTAGGACGATACCAGGGTCTAAAAATCCTAAATTGCGCCATGGCGACACAGGGGTCTAAAAATCCTAAGTCTTATCAGAGCGATACCAGGGTACAGAAATATCAAATCTGGGAGATCTCCAGCTCAATATTCTACTGCGTGCAAGAGTGACATCCCCTCCCAAGTAAGCAGATAGGGCTCAGAGGGCAGGCAGGTGCTCCCCTCCACCCCACACCCCGGGTGGGGGTTTTCCCTCCACTGCGGGAGTCGCGGTCCGGCAGCCCTGGCACGGACACACAGAGTCCCCACCAGCTAGCCTGCACCCACCCTCTCCCAGACGGCGGCTTGGAGCCAGCCACACCCCCTCGCGCCTGCCGCACGCACCCACCTGCGGAGGCGATCTCGGCGTACCATGGCCGCGTCTTATCCCATGCCGCCCGGCACACGGGTTTGGAGCACCGCGTGCCGCAGCTCCCGCAGCAGGGCAGGCCAGCCGGCAGCCGGGCACAGCCTACAGCCTGCGAGGGCGGCAGCGGCCGCGGCAAGCAGCGAGCAGCCACCCGGGCGTGCGCTGCGGCACTGCGCGAGGTGCGGCTGCCGCAGAGGAAGCACCAAGATGTGCTGGTTGCCGCGGCAGTGCCGAGCGAGTGGGCACCGACTTTTAGAGCCCACCCGCGCTCCGCCCCTGGCCCGCCCACCGCGCCGCAGTGCCCCTCCCGCCACAGCCACCGCCCCTCCCCGCGGCCCCTCCCCGCAGCCCGGCCGCCACAGCAGGGACGGAGCATCCTTCTCACAGCAGCACCTCTAGGGGGCACCTTTAGAGTTGTCGACCCCCGCCAGCACCCTACTGCTTCCTCACAGGCCCCCCCCCCCAACCCTGAGCTCTGGGTTCTGCAGCAGAAATTCTCCTCTGCTGAGTTAACACTGCAGGAAAAGACCACAGATCCCAAAATCCCAACACACACCCCAACCACAGACCACCACCCACAGTCCCCCCCAACCCCAGAGGTGGCCACTCGACCTCAGGTGTAGGGGCTCAGAGCGGCCAAATGTGGTTACCTGCTCTCAGTCTGCACCACGCCCGAGGCATGGGTTCTGAACTAGGCGAGTACCCAGTCCAAAGCAGCAGTCCTCAAGTGCCCAACACCTCTTAGGTCCCTAACTATGGGACCTATGTCCAGCCAAATGGCTAGGGAACGATAAGCTCTGCTGGGGCTACTACCAATCTCATCGGCTGATTAAGGGTACAGTGGCTAGGAAGCAAGAAGGGCAAAACTCGGGGAAAAGTCTGGATTCTCCCTCTCAACCACGGCCATGACCACGGCGCCAGGCACGTCTCCTTTGCAGCAGCACTACGTGGCCCGCATGCCAGAGCCCCGCCGCAGCCCTCTCGCGCGTATCGGGCCAGAAATAATGATATTCACAATTATGAGACTAAAACTCCCCCTTTTTTAGATGTACGATTGAATCACAATGCAAGGGCCCCAGCGGTACAGGAAAGAGGGAAGGAATTTTCTTCTTCATCTATAATCCTTTAAAAGGCATATATTACGCCTTTGAAAAGAAAAGTAGAGAGAATCACAGTGTCTACGTTCATTTTCTGGCTATAAACTTAAACGGATGAACGCGCGCGCGGGATGCAAGCGAGCCAGGCAGCCCAAGCAGTGCCGGCTCCCTCCAGCGGGGGCGCTGCAGGCCTCTCCTTCCACTCACACCCGCCAGCCCGGGCCATTCCGCAGCCCAGAGCGCAGGCAAGCATGAATCGCGAAAGGCCAGTCCAGCTGAGCCCACCCAAGGCCGCCCTGCACCTAACATTGCACTGGGAGGTAAGGGCCACCAACCAGACACAGGAGAAACCACCACTTATGAGCTGTCATCAAAACGTGTGGCGCAATCCAGGGTACACTTCTGGTGTCCGATGAACAAGGTCGTGAAAGGAACGCTAAGAGCCGGGGATACAAAGACGAATGAGAAATGACCCCTGCCCCAGAACAAGATGCTGACCATCCGGTGGGGAAGACGGACAAGAACTGACGCCGCTTAAATTTTCTCTTTAATTTCCTGGCAACATTCTGTGACAGGTTGGCCCCCTCCCCCTAACATCTAAGGCCCTCAAAGGCCGAGCCCAAGTATTATTCACCTTTTGTATCCCCAGAGCCCGCCACAGTGCCAGCCACAAAGCAGGCCCCTAATAAATACTGCATGAATAAGTACAAGAATTTGAGGGGCGCACAGGGGAGGAAGTAATTAAGGGGAGGGGGGGAGGGTTGTCTTGAATGATGAATAGACATTTACCAGAGAGACAAAGAGCATTCCAACCAGAGGGGACGGCATTTGCAACCCGAGGCGCAGGACTGCACAACCTTTGGGAAAAACTGCAAGTCCTCTGGGTCCAGCGCCGGCAGGCAAAAAATTAGGCTTCAACAAGTATTTCATCCTAAAGAGTTTGGAATTTGTCCTAAAGAAAATGAGAAACCACAGATGGATGTAAACCCTTTATGGACTTAAATGGTTACTTACCAAAATATAAATTACTCCCTTTAACAGTAGAAGATTACCTATTTTAACTATCTACCACCTTTTAAGGACTGAAGTAATTACTTAGCAAAATTTAAATCAGTCCTCTCAACAGAGTAAAGGTTTTCCCATTTTAATTAAGACAACAGTAACAACCTTTGCATTTTTTCCCCCCTGTACTTGTTGTCAATGAGTCCCACGGATTCCATACTTTCATTCTCACCACACCACGAATACCAGCACCCAAGATGAAGGCAGTTTGATATTTAACCGACTGGGCGCTTACAAAGGATCTTATTCTGAGAGCCTTAGAACAAGTGGACACATAGGAGAAACTGCTAGGGGGAGGGATGGAGAGGGGACCAAGGAAGCTTTTGAAAACAACAGGAATTCTAAGTCAGGCACTCAAGAGAAACAGAGTGGCTAGAAAAAACTTCCTTGGAGAAGGAGGAATTAAGGGTTGAGGACTTCAAACCCAGACTTGCTTAGGCGACGAAAACATTCCTGTTTGGAAGACCCTCCAGTGCAGAGCCAACGGAGTCTTAACAATGCAGAAGATACTATGAGAGGTCGGCTTCGCTAAAGCCGGGAATTTGCTTTTCCAAAGTCGAGGGAGACTATGCTAGCAACAATGCCCCAGGAACCAGAGGGTTAATGAATTTCTAAATGTGGAATTCTAAATTCCTAAATGTGCCTGCCTTACTTCCAGAAAGAAGCTTCCTCCACCCCGGGAGAATCTAGCCTAAGGTATAAAATAGTCCAAGTGCCTGAGAAAACATGTAACCATACATAAATCCAAAGTCTGCCTCCAGCTTGCTCTCAGTACACTCTCAGTTCTTGGATACAGAAACCACAATCCACAGACATCCGACATGCCGTGCAGCGCATTCCCTCAACCAGCAGCTTATCAGACACTCCTGTCACATTCCAATTCTAAGATGGTCCCCCATAATAAGACCTCGGATTTCTGCAAAAATTAGTGTCGGAAGCTCAGCATTCATTGTACAAGAGCGGGATGAGATCAGTGGGGCTGGTACCATACGTTTGATCATCGTATTTTTTCTAACCCGGGTGTGAGACCCATACTATGACAAGCACAAGGATATTTCTGAAGATGACGAGACAGAACTGGGACTGCCACTCTGAAGAGCCATCTATAATTATTGATTCAAATAAATGGAAGAAGTTCAACATGGGAAAAATTTGGCTGAACAGCAGCACATGTTAGAGACTTAGGGCTTTAGGGGACAGTGAGCCAACGTGATATGGCTCCAAAAATGCCATTGTAGACTGCAGAATGTCATTAGAGAAGCACCGGGAATAAATGAACCCTACTCTATTTTGCTAGTCAGACTTCACAGAAAGTATTTTATTCTGTTTTACAAAGCAATTTAAGAGACACATAAACAGGAATTTGTTCAGGGATCACCTAAAAATGCATTGCAAATTATGTCACTGAAGGTATAACCACTCTCATATTTTAAGCATGGATCTTCACCAATTTATCCCTAATCCTTACAATAACTCAGCGAGAGGACTATTTTCATCCACATTTTGCAGAGAAAGATACAGCAGCTCAGAGCACTGTGTCAGTATGTAAAGGACTGGGAACTGAACACAGATGTGTCTGGCTCCAAAGCTGGCGTTCTTTCCACTACCCCACACTGCCTCCCTGTTTAAAATAACTGGGCATGTTTAGCTGGAAGAAAAGAAGCCTTGTGGAGTACGTGGAAGAAGGAAACATGTTAGCAGTCCTCAAATATTTGTGGAAGCAGCATTAGACATTTTATTCTGTATGGCTCCAATGAGTGCAAACTGTAGAGAAACAGATGTCGATTCAACATAAAGAATTTTCCAACAGTCAGGTCTGTCTGGAGAGACTGAGTGGCTCAGCCATTTTGGGACGTGACAAGTTCCCCGTCACAAGGGGCTGGGTAACCCTGTGGCAGGTATGCAAGCTCTGAAGAATACATGAATGACCTTAAAGGTCTTTTCCCATCTGACAGAAACTAAGGATCAGAGAGGTACTGGAACTTGGCCAGGGTGACCCCTCTACTGAAGGGTCAAATCCAGAACTAGGTCTTCCCTGGGCTCCTCAGCCCACAACTCTTTGCACAACATGACGTTTCAGGCTGAGGGCAAGAAAAATTGAAATCATCAATACAATCACACAAATCTCCCTCTCAGCCAAATTTAATTAATATATCCCAAAAGTGACTGGTGTTTTCCTCTTCAGGCTCATTTTTGGGTGAAAGTCTTTGACTGAAGAAAGTTCAAAAGATGTGTGGTAGAGAAGCAAAAGGTGAATAATCCATTAACCAGATAAAATGAACCTAAGTGACCGAGAGCTGTTTCTATTGATTACAGTGTCACTTGGCCCCCCAGTGTATCTTTACACACCCTCTACATTACTGGGCAGGTCCCATAATCCCACACCCAGCCCTATCCCACTGATCCGTACCTATAGCACATCTTACACACTCACACAGGTAAGATAAATAGGTTGGAGGATTCGAAATAAAATTTGTCTTTTGCATTTTGATAGCTCTTTGCCTTTCACATACATTATTTCATCTGATGCTCACCACAGTCCTCTAAGGAAAACAGCTACTTTCTTTCAGACAGACAAGCAATTTCCTAGATGCCTGGGGAAGAGAGGACGACGGTACACAACTCACTTAAAAATAAATAAGTAAACAACCTCCTTTCCACATTAGATTATTCCTCCAGCCTGGATGAGTCAACCCAGAAGCAGGTGTTGCGCTTTTGCTCGATTGCTATCCTCACCTCACACCTTCTCCAGCTGTCCTCCCCCACTGTGCCCTCCAGTGCCCCCACCCACGCTACTCCTGCGGCGCTGCCTCCCGAGTCCCTGTTACTACCACACTCCCCTGGCAACCCCCGCGAGTGGCTCCAACTCCCAGGGCAAACTACCCTCCCTGCGCCGTGTGGCCGCGTCGCCTCACCCCCATACCCGCCGAGGCCCCTGTGGCTGCCACATCCCTGACCACGACCACTACGGCTGTCCCAGCGTGGGAAGGCACAGCCTCCCAGGAACGCGAGTCCCGGTTCCCTGGAGGGCGGTCAAGCCGACTA